GGAGTACTGCGAGACCTCTGTGATGCTGGCGGACATCATGACGAAGACGCTTCCGGGGCCACGTCACAAGGACCTTACGGCGGCGCTCGGAGTCAACGCGTGTTCGCATTGAGGGGGGCGTATTGAGGGGTACCGGTTTCAGGCGGTAAGTACCCATAAACCGGTAGCCAAACCGGTCCAACACGATCTCGCGATAATTACGGTACGTTGATTAGACGAGTAGGATGATTGGACGAGTGCAGAATGTTGGTGATTGGATGCACCAATTGATCGGATGGCCTAGGTAGTGAGGACTGTGTAAGCTCCGATAAATCAATCACTTCGGAATCTTCCTTCTTAGTCTCAAGTGTCTTCGCTCCGGTCTACTCCCGAGTGGTGACTCTTCCCTTCGCTTCGTACAAGCCCAACGTTGCCTAAAACCCGTGACCTCTATCAGATTCGCCCGCTGTCGCAGCTTCTGAGGAAGGAAGCCGAGTGGATTTGGACTGCTGAGTGTCAGTAGGCCTTCCATACAGTCAAGCAGGGCTTGATGGAAGCGTTGATCTTGGCAGTGGCTGCTCAAGATCGCTCATTCCACATCGTGTGTGACGCTTCCGAATTCGCAATCGGATGTGCGTTGATGCAGCAGGACTGAATTGTTAGTAATCACGAGACCATTAAAAACATACTTCTCTGACCCACTCCAATATGACGATTAGGTTTTTATTAGAATTCGCACCTAAACGAATACGACCATTCAATTGGCTTAAATTATTCTAATTAAATGGCTGGGTACAGACCAATAATTTCATGGTTGACGGAGGCTTATACGCACTTAGTCACTTTTCGAAATACGATCGTCGAGATGCCAAAACCACCCGGGAAGCAGGATATCGCACCTACTTCACGTCTTCACAATCTTACCCCCCTAGTGGAGTCTGGTGTCCGTCTGTCCGTCCGAGGGTAGGGTTCTAGAATGTAACGCAAATACGCGCATTCTACTGGCTGCCGAGCGCAGCGAAGGCGGCTTCAATTGGCTAAAATATCATTATGTGGTGGACACACTGTATGTGGTCTACACATCGTACTTAAATGCACCTTTCAAATTTCATTTTGCCCTCATTTTTAACGCTGGAGCGCCACCTCACGCAAAGGGCGCTGCGTGTGTGCGGGTTAATTTGCATTGGTAGGCTTCGCCGACGTGCACACCGGTACTATTATATCGTCGTAGGCGCTGTTGATTTTTTTTAGACCCTGGCGACACCACTGGATCGCATTTTAGCAAAGTAGTAATTCAACACTTCGAAATACTTAGTTTAATACTTAAAAAATAATATTACTAATTTAATAAAAACGTTTCTAATAAAACATTTCTCCAATGGAACGTTTACCTCCCATGTGCTCGACGTGCCAGGCGGTCATTGTGCACCCCCCGCTCGAGCCAGACGGTCTCGGGCTGCAGCTCCGGCTGTGCGCCTGTTGCGAACAATTCTTAGCATGGGATGCATTCGCACAGGGCCAGGCTCGAGCGGGTGCCCGCAGGTGCATCGCGTGCGCCTCTGGTCCATACAGCCAGGCGTTTTGGCACCGCCCACGCACACCAGAACCGAAGCCAGCCACTGATTCGCGCCAACAAAGCCTGGCCTTAGTTGCCGCCGCTATGGGGCCCCCACAACCGCCGCGGCGTGTTGTCCAGGAGCGCATTAATCGCCGCCGTCGTCGCTGGAAACCTCGCCAGCGCAACAAACATCCGCGTAATCACCAGAAAAACTGATTGGCTAAAAATAAACGTTTTCCATTGGTCACAATTACTTTCGTGTTTAGGTGCGTTGTATGGGAGCTTAGGACAGGGCGTGAGCCTAGGTGAAGGTGCGAGCTTATCGAACTGGATTTGTAGGGCAGAAAGAAACAGTATGTACGATGGAGGGGAAACAAATATGAACACAGAGCTACAAAGCACGGAAGCGGGCCGATGCAATTAACATGTAAATCTATGAAAGCACTGAGAGTCACGGACTCTGTTAGACTTTCTACCTAAAACCGGGCTAGAACACGTAGCTGCTACAGAGCACGGAAATCACCTACGATACAACACGGTAGACCACGAAGCACGGTAAAATACGAAGCACAAACGGCAGATCAACCGGGACACCACAAGATAACTAGATAGTATGGTCTGGGCCACTATGCCATGGGAGAACGCAGCCGCGGAGCTATAGTCAGAAAATCTTCGAGCCGCGGAGATCGATACAAGTGTAGAACCTGAGCTTACCGAGCCACGGAGAACCGTAGTACATGGGAACACGATTTAACGGACGTCGGACCAGCCACAAAAACACGAGGGGGGGGGGGAGAGGGAGGGGGCACGTGTGGGGTGGCCATGATTGCACACCGTGGAGCACGATGCCATTGTAGAACACGATAACACGGGCAACGCAGATGCACTACGCGAGCACAATACCATAGACAGCATTACCACACCGTGATTGCACGATAGCGTGATTCCGCGGTCGATGACACTTCATCAGGAGATCACGATGCACGGGCGACGGAACCACGACTGCATGGAGGCAAAGCACGGAATAGCACCCTTTGGTTAGAGCACCGGCGATGGAAGGCCAATGGTAACGAAATAGTATCTATCACGAAGCCAGTGCAACCCACGTAAACGTTTGAGAACGGAAAAAAGTTAGCTTTAACGAAAAGACCGTACTAAAGAGCATGAACCCACAAGAGAGAGGACAGAACCGCTGAGCAGCGTGGGCCATGGGTGAGCAGGAACCTCGAAGCCGGGAAGAGCACGAAAGAGCATGGACCATTGAAGAAAACAACACCCAACCTGTAGTACGGGGTAACGGAAACGTTCCAAACCACGATATTATACGGGGCCGAATGTGACTACGGAAGGCAAGTGGTTAAATACACGATGTCAAGATCTACGGGGTGAACCACGCTCTCTAAACACGCGACCCCAAGAAGCACTTAAATTTGCGGCCACCTCATCTACAACAAACCATGCCACTCCGCCGCGTAGCGGCGGCGAACGGCTAGTGTGCTATTCCTAGCGGAGCGAAGTGTCCGCGGTAGCTTCTCCGTGGAGCTATCTGTGCTGCTATGAGAGAGATTAACCTCTCCCGCAACAGCATCAAGAAAGTGTGGTGCATCCGTGGTGAGGTGGACGCTATTTCCGCCCCATCACGGGTGCAGCCGAAACTTGGAAGATATCTGACGTTGGACAGAACATGCCAAACACATGCATTTACAATCATTTGACTTGACTTCTGTATTGTTTTGACCTTCTGAGTGTCACAATAAGACATAATCGACGATTAGAGGTCACAGCATAAATGGGGCCAACCGCGCTTCGCTTGGCTGGGCGCTCCTTCGGCGCCCCCGCGGTTCGCTGCGCTCACAATATGGAGATAGAATGTACTGGAAAGTGTAGTGCTCGGCTCGCTGGTGAGCTCAGCGCTGGGCCCGCCTCGCACCCGCTCACCTTAGTTGGCGCCGCGGCTATGGCAACCACGTCGCCCAGCCCCGTGTGTGTTATCCGAACGCGTCCAACTGTTGGTAATTGCTGCTGTTAAAATATGGTTTTAAATCGCTAAATATTAATTGAACTGCGACAAAAAAACTAACGGTTTCTAGATTGCGAGGTGTTTGAGCGGAGATTACTCTACCATAATTGATGTTAAAGCAGGCTAAAAATATGTCCGTGTGCGCCCTGACTGGGGCTTTGAGTTGGTGCGCTATTTGTTCATGGGGAGCTCTGCAATCGACCAAAAACAATCGACCAAAAACAGAATCCGTCGTATTGGAGTGGGCCAGAGAAGTATTGAACTAAATGTGATAGATTGTCCGAGCGGACAAAAGTGTCCGGACTTGTACGCTGTGGTATATTTAATATACTATATTATAATTGGTTGGCGGCAGCACCCGCACTGGTACAGTTGGCCAGAACCATTTGGAGCCTTAATAAGGGCGGTATCTGAATAAGTCTGAGTGTTCTCCCCTCCATTCTGATTCAGCTGCCAGTGTGATAATGAAAGTCATCAAGCGGATAAACATGTAGTTTTGAAGTTGTATGACCATTTTGTATATTTGATTTTCTGATGAATGAATAGTGGGGGGAGGGGCCTATCTATTCAAGCAGCCGAGCCTTCGGAGCTGAACATCGCTCTGATTGTACTTAGCTGTTACGGATAAATCCTGTTCTAAGGGCATACGGCGGACATACTTCGCTGCATGTGCGAAATCAACCTAGCCTGATACAAACGCATAGTCAGGATTTTCGTTTATAGATTTTTGTAAGGGAGGGCTGGTGTTCGAATACTTTATCCTATAATAGAGTGCGAAATTGCGAGATTTAGCGCTCTAATACGCAGTATTAAATGGTACTCGTGCCAAACTCGCACCTTAACACCAGTGAGGTCTGTCGTGAAATGCTTGGTTTCCGGTAGACTTGCTCACGAAATAGCTATTTTGATTGAGCTGCTAAAATTAGGCAGATTAAATGAAAAAAAAACTATTTTTCACCGCTTTCCCTTTCCCTTTGGCCGTGTTGGTGTTCGAGTATTTGACAATAATGAGCTATTGCTCGTGAAAATATGGACTACCTAATTACGAACAATATGACGCGGTATTTTCCGGGAAACTTTTCCCAACACTGCAGGCCTTGGAAAATACGCTGGCAGTCTGCCGCAGACTGCCAGCGCACTGCGTTGAGGCTCAGCCGCTCAGTGAGCGCATCCGAGTTGCAGGCTCAACTCGGCAACTTGCAGCATGGACCAGCGATCGTCAATTCCCGGCGCCCATCTGATGGTTTCCTCCAGTCGTCACACCTTCCAAATTATCTTGGTTTCAGTAAGCCGTGATTTTGTCCAGATGCCAATCAAGAACAGCTATTAATGCACGCCGGACTTTACACCCTGAGGATTATCCTCGCCCTGCTCATCCTGTTCATTGCAGATTTTGCTCCACACCAAGCCAAGCTTTTTCGATTCTCTGGAAATTGCAGTGCAATGGCTCGCATCCACTCGATCGTCGCGTTCAGCGTGGCGCTCCTAGCGACGTTGTTATTCACCTGCGTGTATGCCGCGGACGACCAGGCGCTACCCTGGGACGGCACCTTCCACGACCTGGCCGTCGATACGCTCACGGACAAATATCTAACGCATATCCTGACCAACCGCCAGAGCGGCACCGTGAGCCCGGACCAGTGGGTTACTATCACCAAGAAGGGCCGCTCGCCCGCCTTCAACGGTGACACGGGCGTCGCCACACTGGCCGTGGATTCTGAGGCCATTTTCGGCGGGCAGACCAATTTCCGTCGCTCCGAGCTGGTGCAAGACGTCGCGGGAAACACGGCTGGCACCACCTTCTTCCGCGTGAGTTTACTGAAGAAGGAGGCCTACGTCAACCTGTACTCGTGGCAAGTCGTCTTCCCGGAGTCACACCTGTTTGAGATCCGCATCGATGCTTCCGTGGACCCGGTACAGCTCGTCTGGTACACTGGCGGCAGCACCGAGACCCGCTGGTCGACGGAGTTCAAGACCAAAACCTGGTATAACTTCGGCATCGCCGTGTCTGCGGGTAAGCTGGCGCTCTACTTCAGTGAGGGCGACGACGCTTTGGCACTCACCAAGACCGAGACTTACAATGGAGCTGTCCCCACGGACTACGAGTTCCACTTCGGCCAGCTCACGCTCTCGAATGACGGCAGTGCTGTCAAAATGGCGGACAAACAGGACGTGCTGTCGTTCAACGGCGTGACGGTCGAGAACGGTATCCCCAGCGACCTCGGCTCCCCGACTTCGAGTGTCGCCAGCTCCGGCACGGGCAGCGAGAGTGCGTCGACGCCAGCCAGCACACCAGCTCCTGTGGCTACCACTGGCACTCCCACTGTAACTGCGGCGACTCCGTCGACGGAGACGAGCGAACAAGATTCGGCAAGCGAGGCCGATACTAATACCGGTAGTGAAGCAGCTGAAGAGACTACCGAAACACCTGCCACGACCACCGCTGCGCCACCAGCGACAGAGGCTCCGTCAACGTCAACTGATCAGACCTCGGATACCGACACTCCTGCACCCGAAGACACGCCAACGATCAGCACGTCTGGCTGCAAGGTACGCCGCTACTAGAATGGAAACGGGTAGCATCACGGTTTGTTTGCTTAAGTAATATAAATCTACGTTAGAATTTCGATGTTTTCTTGTCTTGTCACCACCGTCCATACAGCTCGACGTCGTTTAGATAAACCACCTCCTGTCCTGGTCCACTGGAGTCGTAGCCCCATATATCACCTCGAATCCAGAGCGCTGTCGCGCCATCAAGCACAGCACCGAACTCCGCTGCAGTGAGGGCGCCTCCATCCGGCTCGGCGATCCATCCAAAGTCTTCGCGCAATACGACTGAATAGTACGTCCAGCGAGAGGCTGAAGGTAAATCGAACGAGCCCAGCGCAGCAGATATCTGCGTTACAGCACCGATACTAGTAGTGCTGAAGATAGACACTTGGCCACGACGAGGACGTGGGGACCCGTTGAAGCTCGGGGTGAGGAGACGGTATTGGAGACGACCGCCGTACGCGGCTTTCAGCTTGGTGATGAGAGATGCAGGGGCTGAGAAATGCCAAATGCTGGAGAACACTGGACCACAAGGAAACGCGGCATCAAGTCGAGGCACTTCACCTCGAAGCAGACAACTACTGGTGCTAGCATTGGAGGTGTTGGATACCGGAAGTAGCGCTAATGGAAACGTACTGTGCTTGCTGCAGTGCAATGCTCCGAGGTTCTTCTGGTTATGGCCCTGCATCGACAGATCGCTCACCACACGACCCTGCAGCAATAAGTGAGAGGTGTCGAAATTCCACCCCAGTACAAGACCATTGCTGACAACTCGAAGAGGCCACGAGAGTTCCCCAAGCAGCTCTGAGCGCGTGAGTATTCGTGACCATACATGGACATGCTGTACCTGGCCTTTAAGCCCGCTGTTGGCCACCACGTCGCAGCTCACATCTCCCGTCGTCGTGACAAATAAAGCGTCAATTGCGCTAGTAGCCGTGTATCTTTGTGCGAGAGCGTCTGCTCCAACAGTACACGGTGCCTGTGCTGTACTGGAAAGCACCAGATGGCCAGCCACAAAAAATCCGCTGGACTCGAGTGTCTGTCCCGTACGATACGGTCCTCCATCAAACACTAGCATCCCGTTGTCAACCACACGCACCCGACCATCTTCTGAGCTCCATGTAACTGCGACGAAATGCCACACGTTGTCGCTGATGTTCACAAACGTGTTCAGCCCGCTCACGTCGCTCTCTGCGTTGATAAAAAGCTGCAGGTTGGAAGGATTGCAAAGTGCCAATGGCACAGCGGACGCCGTCGGGGATGACACGGCGTACGAGTAGAGACAAGCACTTGGATCTCGTTGGGTTGTCTTCACCCAGAGCGACACTGTAAATGCCTACAAAGCAAACAAGGGGGAAAAAGTTAGAGAAAAAAACATCGAATCCAAAGCTAGTCGATAAATGTGTTGCAACCTCTGACGGGAAAGCGCCAACACCGCTCACACTCGCGACATAGTCATCTCCACTAAGTAACAACACGTTGTAACTTGACCCCAGTCCGCCAGAAGACGCCAGTCCGCCACCAAACTCACACGCGTACGTACACACGCCACTGGGGGCAGCAAGATCACACTTCTGGTCGTACTCGTCTTCTCCGAGAACGTCGTCAACAGCAAAGATGCCGTTACCATCGATGCGCAGCGGGCTTTCCCCGTTGGCAACGACCTGCCAACCTTGCAGAGGATCTCGCTCGTTATCCGGCAGATCAACGCTGGCCATGAAACTCGAATGGACAAGCGGGTCTCCGTCTCCGTAGTCGTAAATACGAACCACAGTCCCTTTCGTGGACCCCAGCGCTGCTCCAGCGGTCGTCGGACTCCGTAGAGAGAAAGAAATCGTCTTGAAATGAGCCTCTTTGACGTCATTGTCCAGTATGTCCAGATCTATTGTTCCCAGGGAGTCTCCGATGCCAAAGCGCAGATGAAGCATCATCAAGGACTCATCGAAGGTAGTGGATGCTGAGAAGGAGTAGTCTTGATTGTAGACCGCTGTACTTCCCGTCGTCTGGACTTGAACAGCGATAGAAACAACCGATGACGTCCCTTGTCGACGAAGAATGGGAATCACTAGTTTAGACGATTTCTCCGTGACGCTGTAGAGGCTTCGGACGAATGAGAAAAGACCGTTCGCCTGGTATCCGAGAGCTTGAATTGCCACGGAAGACGTGGCTGGAGCTGAAGCTGAGGTGACAGTGGCACGCAGTGCTGTTGCAGGATTCTTAACGACGACTGTGCTACCAGTGAGGAGACTACTACTCGTGTCCATAAGCTGTCTACGAAGGTCTTGCACCGCGTCGTTCACCGACGGATCGGCGGGATTCTCAGAAGCCAAAAGCTGGAAGTTGACAACCACGGAACCTGCCACTAGCTCTGTGATTTGAATTCTAGACGCGTCGATACCCAAGGACGTCGCCATCGTGGCTATGAAAGAGGCTTTAAATGCCGCTTCAGCGTTGGAACCAGGTGGGATGGCGTCGATGTCTTTGTCAAGTGTCAACGATATCGTCGCAACATCTCGACTGGCCGGAAACTGATCGCTGGCTGCAGCAGCAGCCTCTTCATCGAAGTTTGTCGCTGTGGTCTGTCCAATACTAGCTCGAGAAGTGGTCGAGTCCTGGATGGGGATATTTGCGTACAGCTTGAGCGAGTGGCCTAAGAATCTGTAACATAGTGCCATGGCACTGCTCTCCTCTGCGAACGTAAATGTTGCTCGAGAGTTCACTACGTCGCTGATCTTACTGCCTCCAATCGCAGACAAAGTCTTGCAGTCTGCGTCACTCGCAGCCATCGATGCGTCAACCCATTTCGCAGCGTCAAAGTCCTGCATGCCAACTCCATGGAACTGGAACTTCATCACAGCCGCAGTACTCGACGTCTCCGCCGAGATTAGCAACACCTCGACAATATTCAGCACCTTACACAGAACGTCCCCAAACATGATATAGTCCGGTGTAGTTCCAAATCTGTAGCATAATTTCCAGGTGGAAAAGCTATCGGACGCTGTGACTCCACTTCCACTTCGAGGCGCAATATACTTCGCACTAAAAGAAGCCTCACCAGCGTGAGGAATGATCGACTTCGACTTTGCGACGCTTGTTACCGACGTTTGCATCACTGATGTGTACAGCGCGACAGCATCGGCGGAGCACTCGTCCACATCGGAAGGAACCCACGCAACTTGATCTGCGCCCTGCGTGATTCCAAATGTGCCAGACACGACAATTTCTGTTGTTTGGTCTGCGATAACTGACACGATTTGAGGGGTCCAAATCTCAGCCTTGGCCACAGTCAGAGTCACAGTTTTGAAGATATCGAAAGGCTGACGATCAAAGCTGTAGCATAAGTACAGCCGAGAGTAAGTATCAGCGAAATTGAGGCTCGCCTTCATCCCCGACACTTCCGTGCGTCCGAGTATTGTAGTGCAAGTTGTTGAGCTGGTAGTCCAGCCCATTTCGTCCGTGTCCGAGAGACGGAATCCAGAGACTTGAGCTGTAGTTGTGGCGCTTTCAAGCACAACACCGCGGTCCATACTGATAATACCGTACGTGGTCAGGGTAAAGTCGCGAATGTACGTGAACGCCTCGTCCTGGAACTGGTAGCACAAGTGATACACGTCTCTGGTGGAAGCTGGGAAGGCGGAAATGGTTCCCGAAAATGTCATCTTTTTATCCACACGCATAGTTGCTGTCCCAGTTGCAATATTGGCGTCGGCTTGTCCACACTCTAAGCTCGAAGTCACACTTTGCGGCACGATCTTGACTGTATCCCCCTCTTGGATCCCTGACCCCACAGGTTTCCACTGCTTACGATGTCCGATTGTGGCCACTCTCCCCAAGCTTGCAACGTCTTGGAACGTATAGTCCAGTAGCGCTGTGATTTGCTTAACTGTAATTGCAATGGAAGCGTACAGTCGAAAAGGCTCATCATCAAACTTGTAGCAAAGGACCCACGTGCTTCCATTGGAGCCCTGCTCGAACGGCAGTGCTACCGTCAGATCCGTCGCCACTTGAAGATGTTGCTTCGTCCGACCTTGAGCTGGTAGATCCACGCAATCAGAATCTTTCATGTTCGTCCCCGCGTTGACAAACTTCATGGTATCTTTTACGCTGATACCAACTCCATCGATCGTCATTTGCTTTGGCTCGTTGACCACCACTACGTTGTTCTGTCCTTCTGCCTTTGGGCTCGTCTGACGAAGCCTCCAAACTGTTTTTACGTCAATGTGAAAGTTCTCGTAAAATACGAACGGTTCCGCCCCGAATCGATAGCACAAAACGCGCTTCAATCCCGCGGATTTCGTGTCATCGCTTGCTTGAAAGCTGCCGGTGGCAGTTCTGGCTGAGATTTCATACAAGAACATGGCCATCTCGTCGTAGTCGTCATATTCTTTAATGATGTTCATCAAAGTGACGCCGGGGTCAGTGCAATCGCTGCTGTTACTACTAGACACAAACTTCGCGAAATCCCCCGTCGCCACGCCGTCTCCGTCGAATAAAAACGTTTTAAGAGCACCGGCGACTGCGACACTGGGGCTTCCCATCAGTGCTCGCATATTTGTGATGCTCTTGACATCCACGTACAGGTCCGTGAACAGCTTGAAGGGCTCCTGGCCAAATCCGTAACAAAGGTACACGCGCTTTCCCGAGCTCAGCGGCGACAAGGCGACCCCGAAAGTGTAGATGCTAGTGAGATACGACAGATAGTCGTTATCGAGATTCATCGCATTCGGGATCAACAGACTCAAGTTGGAGCACGGAATACTCGAATCGATGACGGAAGTCCAGCCGACTCGGTCTCCTTCTGCGAGGTTCGTTCCCAAAAGCGTAAAATCCTTTCGCGAACCTGCCACGGCGATTTCTTTGGCTCCTGTCTGTGGCGACTTCGCACGAATCGTCCCTATCGCTATTGAGATTTCAGAGTACAATTTGAAGTTTTCCTCTCCGAATTTGTAGCACAACACTGGATTGAAATCGCTTTGCACACTGGAAAAGTTGAAGACTGCTGCACTGTTGCTGCCCAACGGTATTGTATCGACGCGTCCCAGCGTGTTGAGATCCGTCAAAGAAGCGAGATTACTCTCGCAGTCCTCTTCTCCATTCAAAATCCACCGGACCAGGTCGCCACCGCTTAAGCCGTATCCAAGAAACGTAAGCGGTTCCGGAACTTCCGCTACCGCAAGTTGAGGGGAGCCTAGTGTTCCAGTGTAACGTTTGACCATCTTAACAGTCAAGCGGATGCTCTGGTACAGCTGGTATGGCTCCATTCCGAATTGATAGCATGGCACGACCGTCATTCCTGCAGCGAAGGAATCGAAGTTGATGGTGGTAACAAGATTGCCGTCAGCGAAAAGAACGCTTTGCTCTTGGGCGTTGATCACGTGCAGCAATCGCAGGGATTTGTCATTGTCGCTCTCTTCACACGACGCCACGCTACCCGACTCGACAAAGTACAAGCGGTCATTCAATGCTACACCATCACCGAGAAGCTTGAAAGATTTCGGAGCATTTGCCACGGCAGCCGCGTCACTTCCAGTGGATGTGGTTTCAATTCTCTGAAGATCGTTGACTCGTATTTTAATCGCTGGATAGACCATGAATGGCTCGCTCCCAAACTTGAAGCAGAGGCAAAAGGTCCTGCCACTGCTTTCCGCTGAGAATGCAAGAGATACGTTCGAGTCACCCTGAATGATGCGAGTGTAGGCATCTTCTGGCGCCATTAGAGTCTCAGAGGTAGGAGACGCGAGCTTTGCCAGGGTCGATGTGTCGAGACAGTCGGGAGGCGTTGAAACGTATGCTGCACTCTGTGCAACGTCAAGGTCGATCCACCGCACCTGATCTCCACCTGAAATCCCGTTACCATTGAACGTCCAAGTTTTCACAAAATCTGCTACTGCAATATCCGGAAATCCAACACTTGAGCTCACCGACTGAATCTCTTTGACCATAATGCCGAGTGCTGCATACAGCTTGAACGGATTGTGACCGAACTTGTAGCAAACCGCAAACCGTTTTCCATCCTGTGACGACTGCGAAAACTTGACAGAAACATCTCGATTCGCACTCAAATACTTGACGCCCACACCTCCAACATCTGATTGACCGGTGGTGGATTCGCCACAATTCGCGTCGTTGCTTGTGCTCGCGTCCACGAACTTGACGACGTCATTCTCGGCCAAAGCAGATCCTTCAAAAGTGAATACTTTAGCCAGTCCAACCACAGCTGTGAGATGATCACCCGAGTTAGTAATTCCTGTCACTGCGGCTACGATAGCTCCTGTCGTGACCGAATTACTCGCATCGATCTCTCCTCCATCAGGCGCCATCGTTCGACACGACGCGACTCCTTCAGGCCTCACGAGAGGAGGGTTGTACACACCGGTAAAGGAGATATTTACATCCGTGGCCTCAACCAGGTCGTCCGACATGAGGATGCTGATGTTGTTCTGACTGCAGGCAACTTTCCCCAGCACAGCTGGACGAACGAACGTCGCTTTACACGTGGATGCCATGACCCACTCAAACGGGAGTTCCACCACGATAGAGCCTCCTGCCGCCACATGTCCTGTCGTTTTAAAAGCCAAGCTAGCGGAGGTTCTCAAGCCAGCAACTGGACCCGGACTGAGCATCAGCGTTTGCCACATAAGCGGACCCGTTAACGCCCCCTCGGCTATTGCATTCATGCGAATCGATCCTGTGTTCACGTTACCACCCAAATGGCTTTGGATAACGAGCTTTGCCCCTTGCTCTGACCGGACCGATTCCGGAGAAAGGATATCCGTCAAGACAATTGAAACAACCGTTTCTTGGTTAATCGCCACTGCAGTCTGCATACAAAGAGTGTGGCTTGTTGCGTTTAGCTCACGCGTCAGCGGGGAAGACTGCGTGGGTGCAGGCAAAGTTAGCGAGGCAAAAGTTGAGGCCATGAGTGTCCATCCGTCTGGAAATGTGATGCAAAACTTTGCGCCTGCCTCCAGTTTCCCTCCCGTTGTGAACGTAATTGTCTGCGTGGACAGAACCCCCGGTGTTGCAACTTTGGACACTAATGACCCCTCTGTGGCCAACACATCGCTCGTGATTGCATTCACAGCGATATCCCTCGACTCTGCGACAACCCCAGCGTCCGACAACATCGTTGTTACTGTACATGTGCCAGCAACTGAGCTTGAGAAGGGATTGATCATGTCCTCCACAAGTAACTCCACCGAAGTGCCTTCACTCATATCCCCATCCGTGACAACACGCAGCTCATACGTCGTAGGAGACCAGTTAACCGAGTGAGCAGTTACTCCCGATACCGGGAGACTAAAAGACACTTCTGACACGGCACTATTTGCCATTCGCCATCCACCAGCAGGGAGGGTAACTAGAATGATACTACCACTTGGGAGAGCTCCACTCAATGTGAACTTGAAGCGCTGGTCGCTCTGCATACTGGCACTTGTCGTTGTGATAGAAGCCCAAGTTTTTGTTCCCGCTAGAGCTCCTCGCGAAATGGTCATGACAGAAAGTGTGTCAGGTCCGTCGATGATTCTGTTGTCAGCAGCTCTAGTCGTGAGGTACGCGTTGTGAACTCCCGTCTCTTTTGGTGGATTGGAGACGTCTCGAAGCAGTAGCGTAACTCCAGAGTATGAGAGAATAGGCGTCGTCCCAGTCAGAGTCACAGTCATCATTCGAGTGACCGTATCCCACACCACTGAGCCAGCAGCATCAGTGAGGTTTGGAACAATAAATGTTGCCACACCTGACGCTGCCATACTCCACTGTGAATCAGGAAGCGTGAACTCAAATTTCCCTCCAGGATCTATTCGACCAGTAAGGAATAATTCGATGGTTTGGTCGCTCGTAACTCCAGCCACTGCGTTCACTGCGGTCCACAGACGACCACCCAGAATGTTGCCAGCTGTGATAGCGTCCATCTGAAGTACGCTAGGACCATCAATTGCAACTCCAACAGGATCAAAGGTCGTCACCGAGGCTGGAAATCTCGAGGCAGCTCGTACCGATATTGGAGTGTCAAGCTTCATGATCTTCACTTGGACGCCGGCGTGGTAGGCTGGGATAGAATCATTTGCGACGACCAGTTCGAGTGCAGCGTTTGAAACATCCCATGTCGCTGTGGCGACGACTGAACTCGGAGATTTAAACACGACCGAGGGGGCCCTCCCTGATGAGTTGGCGTAAAAATCGTATGTTGGGATTCTCAAAACAATTTTGCCTCCGACTGGAACTTTTCCGTTCGTCTTGAAAGTGACCAGCACATTTGACGTGATTCCCGGATTCGGAGTCTCCGTAGACCACGTGCAGGGGAGACTTTGCACTGCTGTTATCGCACTGAGAGTTAGTGGACTAGACTCATCTAGTTTCAGACCCTTGGCATTCCAGCTTTGGATCGATGCAGACGTAGATGTTGCTCGTGTCGATTGCGGCATTTCTAACGCCGTCACTTGTAAAGTAACCGCAGTGCCGTGAGGAATGGTCGTCGAACTGGATACTAGAATCAAGAGAGCAGCGTTCGTACTATTCCACGACGCAGTGGCGCTGAAACTTGCTGGTGTTGCAACCACAACCGACAGACCTGGCACAGCTGCATCATAGTCTCCACTTGGGAGCTCAAGTATCAAAAGACTGTTCTCTGCCAGCCCTGCGGAAGTCGTAAATGAAATATCGACTCGGGAAGCAATTCCAGGATGGGCCAACTGCGGCGTGAACACTGCGTCTGCAATAGAACCCGGTACAATCGTGACACCTGCACAGCTCGCACTCTCGAGTAGAAATCCATCTGCATCTATCGTAGATACCATGAATGACCCTGTCGTAGATGTCCCTATTACCAACATGTCGGTGAGTATCAAACTTGGCGTGTGGATGTATAGCATTGCGGGAAACTAACCTGGGTTTTCTAGAAATTTGACTTGTACACTATGTTGACCTGCTGCGTAGGGTGTCACAGCCTTAAATTTTACCGACTGTCCATCGACGATTCCAGTCCACGTCACCAACTTCAGCGAGTCCACAAAAGATATACTTCCAGAAAGAGAATAATCGATTGGTACACGCAATACCACAGAAGCACCCACGGGAACACCAGCATTCGTTGTGAAATCCACAGAATATATCGACACAGCACCAGCGATACCACTTACCACATTAACAGCGACACCAGACAGCGTCGTACTTACAATATTCACTGCACTGACCGCTGTCCCCGCCTGGAATACCCTCGACGAGCTGTCTGTCGTTGCCACCGCGAACGTACCCGTCGTCTTCGCACCTGGGTTCGTCACGCCGTCCAGCTTGAGCGAGACGTTAGATCCGGCCGAAACGACACTGCCAGCGATCGTGACGGTCACCACGGAACCGGACGTGACCACCGTGCTACTGCTATCGATATTTGTGGCCGATGACAGCGTCGACGACAGCACCGTGAAGTCGCTCGGGAACGTCATCTCCACCTTACTACCGACAGGCAATCGAACGGCGCTCGTGAACGCCACGGTCACGGTTCCAGTCACGCCGGCGTTCAAGCTGTCTGGCACAACATTTATAAAGGCCAGCGCTGTTTTTGCTATTGCAATGCCAGATACCGCAGCGCTTCTCTCGATAAGCGTGTTGCCAGAGTCATAGGTAGATACGGTGAAGTCGCTTGTAGTCTGTTCCCCAGGATTGGTTACATCCGTCATAGTAAACCCGAATGCCACACCTGCCGAGATTTTCGTCGTCCTCACCAGAACCGATAGCTGCGTCGACGACACTGACACAACTGATAGCGCCGTTGTGCTGCCTGTCGCGGTGACTGCTACTGTTGTGCCGCTGGAGATGTAAAACCCGGTGGGGAACTCGACCAGCACCGACCCGTCCACGTCTACATCAACTCCACTCGTGAAGGTGACTGCTACATCAGTGACGACGCCCGCATTCAGGGACGCAGGTGTCACGCTTGCGCCAGCGATGTCAGCATGTGCGACAGTAGGGAGGCGCAGATAGAACAGCAGCAGCAGGGATGTCCTCAGTAAAGAGCGCCGCATATCCGTCCCTGAAAGGACATCACGAATCGGCGCAGCCTGGTAGTACTAATAGTACTACCAGTTAATGCTTTTATTATTTATACTTAAACCATTTAAATGGTTTAAATTTTTATTTTTTAAATATTCATTAATTAATTTTAAATTTAAAATAAAAAGGAAAAAAAAACGTTTTTACATTTAGCTACTTCGAAGTATAAATAGCAGTTTATGCAGATCAATAGTATTTTATTTTACATGTAATGCTCTTTGTGTTAGTCTCTGTTTATTGGTCAAAACGCTTCTCCACAAAAGCTGAGGACACAAAACGCCCCACACCCGCGGAATTCCCTTGTATCCCCCACCTTGATTATGTCTACCGCTCGCCTGACTCACCTCGCAAAGGATCTCACGGGCCTGGGTGCGTTGGCTCGCTCTTCTCTCTAGTGCGTCTCTCCTTCTCTAACTGTTTTGTCACTGTCCTCTTCAGCCCCGTGGGGCGTCCCCGGAGCACTGCTGGTCGGCTGGATGGCCTGGCCCGCACTGACGCCCGCTTTCAAGGAGGAGACGCTTGGCCTGGCTCCCGCTACGCTTCCGTCCGCCCCCGTGTCCGGTCCCAAGAAGGATATTTTCCGTTCTTCTGGCAAGTACAAGTACGTCAAGAGCGAGATTGGCGAGGCTCCGGCCCTCGACGAGGACTAGAGTCGATGCAACCCTACTACACTCGCTCGTTAGTGAGCATTAAACACAAGAAACAAAGAAACAAAAATGTACGACGACATCGGAGCTCGTGTTAGTGTTGTGAGAGGTTACTACAGAGGCGTACAGATTCACGGATACAGATACTTGTTTCGAGTTCAGGCGTCAGTCTGCCGCAGCATGTAGTCGACGAGGCAGCGCGGCTTCTTGGTGTTGGCACGGTTGGGTTTCCAGTGGCGCTTACGCATATTGGCAAACCAGTTACGTACCTGCTGCTCGGCTAGCCCTGTTTTCTCAGCGATCTCCACCCGCTCGTCAGGGGACGGATACGGATTGTCCTTGTGCGCCAGAAACCACGCAATGAGAAACTCGTTGCTTTTCCGGTTGATGCGCGAGCGTTTGACCATGCCGCTACCACCCGACAGGATCATGCCCTCCGACAGCGCGTCCGAGCACTTGTCCTCCAATGGCGGCGAGATGGATGCGGCACTGCGTTTCTGCAGCAGAGACGTCCACAACCTCGCCTCCTGCTTCGGCGGCAGACTCATCGCGCTCTCTTCAATGGACACCACAGCTTCGACGCATGAGGCGCAGACGTATTGCCACATTCGCCAATAGTACAGCGTCGCCTTCAACATCATCAGATCCGTCGGACTCAGCTCGTACAGCTCAATGTCGTCCATAATCCGATACCACGAGGTGCACAGCCCTTGCAGCTCCGAATGCTGGTACGCCGTTGCCTTGGCCCAAAACGTGTCCTCGGATGTCCTATCGTCGCAGTCGACTATCAGTGCGGCGAGGAGCTTCGCCGGCTGCGAGATCATGGCCATGAGTTTGTGTGCTAGCAGCAACAGTGCATGGTTGTGGAGCGACACCGTCTGGGAGACCTTGGGCCGCTCGTCGTCGTCGCTCACATGGCATAATGATGCGAAATGGTTGGTAAGAGGAGCGTCACTAGCCGTCAGCACTGCAGTTTGCTGGGATTTCTCTCGAGAGCGCAGTTTGTAGTTGATGCGATTGGGAAATGTCATTTTTGCAACTGAGGGAACTCGACGGGCCTGGGACTGAAGGCATTTCACGACAAGTTGCAGTGCCTCGTCACCGGTGTCTTGATTGGTCGAACGCTAAATCTGCGACGCTGCGCACCCTCGCGGCTGCTAAACGTAGCCAAGCAGAGACTTTCGTGGATGGTTCCTGATCTTTGACGTGGGCACACACTTTTCTGCTGGGTAACCGCCATCAAAGTCTCTCGAAAAAAATAAAAGTGATGTTCAGATTGGAGCCCACGTCTCCACCATTTTGACCATGGAATGTCTGGAAGCGCACACGCGACTGGAGCAAAAGAAGAAGTCGGTGTTGAGACGGCAACAGCGCGAGCTCCAGAAGCAGAAACAGGATGTGAGGGCTCAGGAGAAGGAGCTGGACAAACTGTCCTTGCGTTGCCTCGAAATGGAGGAAGAAGATCGATTGTCTGTTGCCATGGAGGCCCTGCATCGAGACGAAGAGGAACGAAAGAGAATGGAGAGTCAGGAACTTGACGAGTTGCAATTGAACAGGTTGATCTCTGAGACGAGAAAGAAAACAATCACTCTGGGGCTCTCGGCCTCAACACCTGGTGTATCGGGTCTGCAACGACTACGTTTGCTTGAAGCTCGCATCGTAGAGAAGGAGCTTGCGTTGAAGAAATCCAACGAGGCAAAACTTCGACTGGATGCACTCCCTGCTAGGCGACACAAACTCACGCAGCTGATGCATTCGTTCTTCTCTTCCAGCCTTGGAAAGAAAGTGGAACGCATCGTTTATCAGCAGCATTGGGATCGTCTCGTGCCGCTATTCGACGTGGCAACCGCAAGCTATGGCACGCGGTCCACCGACTTGTTGAACCACGAGAGCGAGAACGGCTTCACACCTGTACTCATTACAGTATTTAAAGGGAAACCGAGGGTCTTGAGGCGATTGCTTGAACTCGGAGCTTCGCCAGACACCGAGACAAAGGCCGGGATGACTCCTTTGCTAGCTGCTGTAATGACGGGAGATGTCGTTGCGCTAAGCATCCTTGTCGAGTTTAAAGTCGATTTGAATCACGAGACAACAAACCAAGTGAATGCAGTTCTTCTCGCTGCGGACAAAGGTCGAGAAGAGATACTCAAAGCGTTGCTACAGTATGGAGCCAATGTTGATGGTGTGAACAAGGCCGGGAGATCGACACTTATTCAAGCTGCAATTTCGGGAAATATCGATTTATTCAAAATTCTACTAGCGTATGGAGCGAGAAAGGAACATCGAGATCAGGGCGGCAAGGCTGCTTTAGACTGGGCGGTACAGCTCCATAACTCAGCGATAGTGTCAGCCTTGAACAGGTTTCTCCCTGGTGCAAACCTGCTGGCGCAACTCAAAGCCGAGGAAGAAGAAGAGGAAGATGGAGGAGTGCTTAGCTCGTTGTCAACAAACCGAATTATGCGGCAGCAGCGGGCGGCAGAGATGGATCGGGCTATGCGGATGGCAGATGTAGTCCGGATACGAAAACTTTTGTCATCTGACGAGTTTCAGCTCAGCCCAAACTACGAAGATGCCACTGGAAATTCCCCGCTGTTAGTGGTTTGCAGTATCGGAACCTACGCTGATACTGTGCAATGTCTAAAGAGCTTTTGTATTCCCACGCACCAAAATCGCGAGGGTGTCAATGCGCTGATGATTGCATGCAAGCGTGGAGATGTCGCCATGATGCAACTACTAATGACGTATGGTTGCAATCTTTTGACTCGAGATTTCTCTGGTCGTGATGCCTTGCACTACTTGAACGCGTACGACCACCCGGACCTGGCGATCGATTTCACGAATAAGTACCACAAGTATCATCGAGAAAATAATCGTGGACTATTGCTCGGAAGGATCGTCCCTACCGATAATTTCGTCGAGCCTGAGTACACCATTTCGCTAGTACAAGTAGACATTTCTGTGGGCCTTGGAAGTGATAGAGACCTAAGCTGCCGCACCGTTGAAGAGCCTGGCAACGCACAGTTTTCTGAAGAAGATCTTGTATGCGATCCTGTGATTCGGCAGTGGCGCATTCAGCAAGAGAAATTGAAGCGAGATCGAAAGCGACGACTGCAGTTTGACAAGGAGCGAGAGCGTATTCTAGCCGCTAGAAGCCGTGGACGTCGGAACGGGTTAATTGCTCCATTACCGTCAGTTCCAGCCGGGCGACTGAAGTTGCCTACTTGCGATAATTGCCAACAGAGTCGAGCACGGAAGCGATGTCCGTCATGTGACCAGGTTTTGTGTGATAAATGCCATACTCGTCTGCATGAACTGGCTTATCGACGACACCATGAGTACGAGGAACTGCACCCTGAGTTGTACGTGGGTCACGAGCTCAAGGAAGTTGCTCTGACAAACCAAGAGAGTTCTCTCCAGAACTCAGTTGTGAGGAGTGTTAACTGCGTTGCTGAAATGCGATCTTTGCTACTAGGTGACGGTCTCGTGTCTCCCGTTACTACTAGTAGTATGCCACGACGCTCTGTTGATCCCGAGGTTGACAACTATCAACGCAAGAAACGAATTGCGAAGGAGAAAGCAATCTCGCAAATGCAAGTCAATGTTCCTGTCGTCGCCGCGAAGCATGCAGCTCAAGCAGGTGAAGAGACGGTCTTCACGCAACCAGCCGAGCTCGAGCTTGCTGCTCTGTACACATCACAAAAGAAATATGAGAGGGCTAGAGAACTGCTGGGGGAGGTGGAGAAATTGATTTTAAACTCAATGGGAATCCTTCATCCGACAATGCTGAAAGTTGCCATCGGGAAGGCACGGATCTCTCAGGTGCAAGGCATTTCCCGTATTTTTGGGCGTTTGTAATCATGCAGTTGACGGAACCCGTATTGGATGTCTATGAGCAGGAGAACGGTGACTTTGAGCAATGTGTTTGCATGATGGAAGATGCACTGTCACGGTTCGAAAACGCTTTGCCTCTAGATCACAAGGATATTCTCACAGCCACATCAATATTGCTACAAAGCTTGGTATGAATCTACATTTTCTTTTAAAGAGTTTGAAGATCTGACACATATTTTACGATTTCAGGACGCACTGGAACACTACCACAGGGCAGTAGTAACGTGTCGACGTGTATACCATATCCGTGTACGAGCCGTTCTACCTACTCATCAGTGTCTGAAAGAAATCTGCGAGCAGTTGGACGAGTTCATTTCGAAGCGGGAAACGGTCGACATGAGTAAGGAAGACTTGATCACACTTGACAAGACCGAGCAGGAGCGAAAGCGCGTGAAGCAGCTCGCCAGCGAGAGCGAAAAGTACGCCGCAGAATATTTGACTGGTTGCTGTTTGTGTTGAGATTTTGTGCCGGTATCAACTCGGATTATCTGGTGGCACACCTTCTAGGCATCTGGCAAACTTCAGGCGACTGACGATGGAGGATCCGGATGGCCTTGCTGATTTTGTGTCATTTGCAAAACAAGAATTCGCTGAGGATATGGTCGGGTTCTGGATTTCTGTCGAGAAGTTTAAGGGGGTACGGAGCTTTCATTTCTTTTTCTTGAATTGCCCCTGACTGTTGATCTTCATTTCATTTTGCCTCAGTGCGCACAGAATGGCATCGACAGCAGGACTCTTCGGTCCCACGCTGTGAATATCTACCTTACCTACATCGAGTCGCGCAGTGTCAAAGTAATAACGGCAGCGCAACGCAAGAAAATCAAGAAAGCGATCACCACCCCAGGCAAAAAGCTCTCGCAATTAATCTATGATGACGTGCAGGCACAGATATTCGAGCTGGTTTACAAAGGTGTGTATGTGCGATATCTCGCCCAAGCGGCGAATTGAATTGTTCGTTATTATGTCGAAGCGACACGTCGTTTCGGGAGCACCACCCGAACGTTGCCTTGAGCTCAGCTCAGCTCGGGCTTCGACGAACGATATGCCGGCCTCCTGGACCGCCTCAACGGAGCTACACAGTCCACAGTACCCTCGCGATTATGTCCCTGTCACTTACTCACCTGGATTGTCGTTTGAGGACGAGGATGTCGAGTACTTAAGAGGGATAACTGTACAAAATCGGCCCGTTAATCTACGGAGAGCCCCGGAAACGGTACATTTTTCTCTGTTTTTAGTGCCTTGGGCTGTGTTTTATATGCATTCACATTTGGTTCATGCACGATGCCAGGGTTTCAACCCGGAAGCTTGGAAGAGCGAGGAATCTGATGCGGGTAGGAGCGTACCGAGACAAGAACGTAAGCATTCTAAGCCAGTTTACTTTTTCTAGGGAAACTTAATATGTTGAGTTGGCATGTCGTTGATTTAAGCAGGTATCGCAGTACAGCTCAAGACCAAGATCACATCTCAACGAGATCAATGAGAAGCTTTCTTCGTCCAGGCCCGGCGAAGTGTACGTGACGACATTAAATGAGGGCGACCAGCAGATGTTTATTGCCTTGTTTTACTGGAGAAGGAAGGTGATTCAAGCCCACTTTTCCGCGTGGAAGTGGGTAGTGTTCGTGCTTCGTCGGTCAGCTAAGAAGCTTCATCGCCATGATCGCCCTACTCGACCGAGCAAGCTAATCTCGATGGGACACGATTCTATTGATCTCCGTTCTCTACGACGAAATCTCATCCTTAAGCGGCACACAGGTATGTCGAGTACCGAGGAATCAGATAAGAGAATACGCAAACCTGTCCAGCCCCAAATACATGTAGTGGGTGTTCGTGGTGTGGACATTAACAGCTTAAAGGGGTCCAACCGTCCTTCTGAAGACCTTCACTCCATCGAAAAGCGTCGTCAGTTTAGAGCGGAACTGTGCCTGGCATATTGTTGCTTTGATCAGTGGAGATCCCAAGCAGATACATCCAGGAAGACACGCGTGCAGCAACTCGAGAAAGTTCGTGCTTTCCATCGTGAGCAGAGTCTGAAGAAAGCTATTCGAGCGTGGAAACGTGGTATCAGGCTTAACAAGGCGAAGAGGAAGCGCTTGAACGACGCCGACCAATGTCATTGGAACCGCACCAAACGTGCTGTATTCAACCAGTTAAAACGCTACTATCGAGTTGAACGTGAAATTACGCGGAGACGAAGAATTAGCGCAGCTCAGCGAAAGCGTCTTGCATTTCAACACTGGCGCTGCTGCGTTTGGCAGACCCAAAAGTGCCGCATGTTATCGGTAAGGAATTGTCTCAACCACCTTCATATCGTGTTTAGATCCTTTCGAGAAGGGGTCCTTGAAGCAAAACAGGAGCGCTTGAAAGATGATTTTGCCGCCTCACATCATCAGAGAACGCTACGGCTAAAGGGCTTACATCTGTGGAGAGGAGCAGTCTTTGAGGGTCCCTTTTACCTTCAATCGATCGATCATGGTACGCGGATTAGGTTGTTGAGTGGGGTTAGAAAGTGGCGGCGCTTCATGACTGCACGGCAGGTACGCGCCCGTAACACACTAGTAGCAGATTTCTACCGGTATCGGACATCGTTACGGCGTGCGACTCGAGCGTGGCAGCAATTTCTTGGGTGGAAGCGACATCGCAAGCGGATTTATGGCGAGGTCCGAAGACGATATGAGCGGAGTTTGAAGATACTCAGCGTTCAGAAACTGCTGGCCTACGCGCTAGTTAGTAGCAACAAGCGAGATCAAATGAGGAGGGCGACTAGATGGTACAACCAAAAGCTCGTTACCCGAAGTTTCCAGCTGTGGGTCACTGCTGCACGAAGATCTGCAAGGTTAAGCCTACTTCGTCGTCGTGTTAATGGAAGGAAGCTAAGCGATGCGATTCGTGACTGGAGAACGCAGATAGCAGCGCGCAAGAGTCTAAAAGAAAAGCAGTGCATCGTATCGAAGCGCTCGAATCATCAAGCCCTGCAGCGATGCATGGAGAGGTGGCTGAGGACGCTGCAAGTCCATTTCTTCGTATCCTCTATGGAATTGAAGCGTCAGAATTTGAGTACTGCGAGACACGTCAGTGCGTGGCAGAATTGGAGCACGACAAAAGTTTCTCAGCGTAAAACTGTTGAACAACAGCGTCGTCGAAGCGAGGAATGTCTCCTGCAACGTGTGATTAGCCGGTGGTGTGGAGTGACATTACGAAAAAAATGTATGAAGCGGCTAGTGAAGCTATTTCGAAAGAAGCAGACCCGACAACGCTCCAGATCAATTATTAGGCTTTGGCATGTTCATATTCGCGTCTGTATAGCTGCACGAAAGCGCGATCTGGATACAGCTCGCCTATCACTTACGGAGTGGAAGCGAGTCTGTCGAGATAGTAAAGAGAGAGGTAGGACCTTGGCAGTGGCAAGACAATACTACAAGGAACGAAGGTACGCCATGACTATAAAAGTGTGGGCCTCTTTTGCCAAAGCAGCTTCACGATCTCATAGAGCTCAAGACAAGGCAGTGTCGCATTACTTTCGCCGAGTAATGATAAAGACGCTGCATCATTGGTGTATCGCGGCGAGAAATCTTCGTCAACAAGCTGACTTCCTAGCGTACCGGCACCACATTCGAGACGAGAAAACAATGACCCGCTGTCTGCGCGATTGGTTTACTCTTACACGACAGCGTTTCCAGCGTAGAAAGCAGAAGTGGGTTGCACTCCAATTCCAATTGGAGCGTCTTCAGCGTCGTTCGTTCTACGCGTGGCGTCAACCTCTCGATGTCCGTTGGAGATTGAACGAGAAACTAATTTCTGCAACTGTTACGCGCGAAAGCAATTCTCAAAGAAAAGTCCTGCGAGCGTGGCGTCTATCAGTGAGGAGATCGGTCCAGCTTCAGCTAGATTTTGGTCTGGTTCAAACAAGACTTAAGCGAAATCGGCTGCAGTTATTTTTTTCCCAGTGGTCCATTTCTTGCTCTCAGCGTCAATATCATCGCAAGCAGATCGCAATGGCAGAAAACTTCTACAATGAGTATCTTACGTGCCTCGCAATCTATCACTGGCAAGAAAAATGGTCCCAGAGGTCAACTCAGCGGCATAAGGAGGTTGCAGTGACGAGGCAGATTCTTGCTCGTCGGCTTGCAAGAGCAGTATTCCGGTGGGACAATAACTCCAAGCACAGATCGAGACTTCGAGCGAAGAAGGCAAAAGCGTATCAATTCTGCATGGAGAGGGTGTCGTCGAAGTGTTTCGGACTATGGAAGAACTATCTAAGGGCGGTTCGCCAAAAAGTCTCAAAGCGAAGATTTGTGTCACAGCTGCAGCAGCAAAAGCTGCTCTTACGAATGTTTCAAAGATGGCAGCAGTTCTCTGAGATCCGCACCTTTCACAGGGCCCAGAGCAAGATAGCAGACCAGCACAGGTCAAAGTTTCTGCGTCGTCTTACTTTCCGAGGCTGGAAGGGATATCGCAGCAAGCGAACGCTGTACATCCTCGCGTACACGTATCGTAGAAGGCTTTTGCTTCGAACATTCTGGACTCGTTGGGAAAGACGCCGCGAGTACGTTGCGAGGGTGCGTCGGAACCTCTTTATGACCAGCCAACTTGTTCGCGGTAACCTCATTCGAGCAACATTTGTGCGATGGAGAACATTCGCCTTACATCATCGACAGGTTCAGGATCTGTTGAACAGAGCTGACGACAACTTCAGTCTGTGGCATTGTAAGCGAGCCGTAGTTTGGTTGAAAAAGAATGCGAGATATCAGCAGGCAGTTGGAAAGGCTGCAATGTTTGGGCGGATAAACGGAGCAAAGTACTTTTGGAGGCGATGGAGACGTTTTATCGCAATCAAACGCATCAAACGAAGCCGACGAAATTTAGCTGAACAAAGCCATCTGCGGAATCGAATGACACGGCATTTCGGTGCTTGGAAAACGCTTACACGGCGTTTAGGCCGAGTACGCCGAGACAAAAGCGACGCGTTGTATCGCATTTCGTGCTTGCGCATGGTATGGTCTCGTTGGAATCGGACACTCAGTTGGCGTAAGTGTCTAATTGCTATGGGAAACCGAAGACTTGCCAACTTGCTAGCGGTAATTCTGCGAAAGTGGAGCACGTACGGCCAAACTCGAGTTGAAAGGAGAGCGAAGGCAGATTTAGCATCCCTATTTAAGAAAACGAAGCTTCAAGCAAAGGCCTGGCGATCTTGGTTACGCTACACCACGTATTGCCACGGTGAGCAGCAGCAACTGGAATGGGCACTCAGCTACTACTCTGTGGAAGTTTTACTACGACGAGCTCTTACGTCGTGGAAAAAGCTGGTGGAGGTGAAGCAAGGGCAGAGAGAACTCGACGAGCTTTCAGTCTGGTTCAATACGCACCGATTGATTTGCACAGGATACGGGAAGTGGAGAGAGTACGTCGAACTACAGAGGATGAAGCTGGAGCGTGTTGAAGCACAAATTCGCACGTGTGAAACTCTCGTGCTCTTTCGCGGCGTCCGGAAGTGGAGAGATCGGGCTTTTGTTTTGCGTCAACAGCGCGAGAACGAAGCTTTGGCTCGTCGATTCTTTTCCAGAAGGCGCCTGAAAAATAGTTTGATCCGGCTTCTCGAGTGGAGGTCGTCGAAGATGATGCATAGAAGATCATCGACCCAAGCAAAACACTATCGAAATAACAAGGTGGCAACGGCGTGCTTCAGATACTGGGCAGCGTTATCATGAGTGGCGCGTGAAATGCGCTCACTTGACGCGTGTGTTGAAACGAAATCAGAAAGGAGACGCCTTCTCGCGCTGGGAAAAGTACTTGCGGAGGCGGCAAGTGAATAACGAGAATAAACTTCAGGCGAGGGTATTCCATTGTATTCATGTAGAGCTGAGCGTGCTGAGAGTGTTGGGTACGTTTGTGCGTGGTCGCAAGCAGAAGGAGGTCGCAATAGCGCTCAACAAAGCGAAGATTCTTTGTCGGGCGTTCACTTTTTGGAAGCGTCGAGCTCACGTTCTCCGGCAAATGAGAAATATGATTTTGTACCAGGAATCTTTCCGAGTACAAACGCATCTCGACGCGTGGAAGCGGTTTGTGGTGGCCACGAGGCAGATGAGTGAAAGGCTGCGTAGGACGACGAAGCGCAAGGAGAAACTCCGCAAGGTGGGAGTGTGGCAAAAGTGGAGCATCTGGGTATCCGCCAAACGACAGGAGCGAGCAACGATTGCTCTGGCGGTCTGCGATTTTTCCCCCGAAAGGTTTTCAAAGTGTGGAAAGAACGAGTTGCAAACTGGAAACGTCAACGGATTTGCACAGCTCGAGCTCTGCTTCAGTGGCAAACGTCCCTCTTGTCTAGAGGTTTCCGACTGCTTCATAATTGGAGACAATCAAGATTAAGATTGACCCGACTGCAGAGCGAAGTGTCAACTTTGCTAGCTGAAAAGCACAAGCGTCACGCGATAACAAACTTGCGAGCTCTGTGTGCAAAAAGAAAACTAATAAAGCGAGCGTGTCACCACTGGCAATTATGCCATCGGCAAAAATACTGGGGACGTATCATGCAGCGGTTTTATGCCGCTCAATACTTGGGAATACCAGCGTATGCAAGCCGATGCCTTCGCTCGAAAGCACCTCTTGGGTCGATGTATTGGTGCACTTCAAAGCATACTTTTGCCACATGAAGCAGCTTAAGGGAACGATCAACGCTTTCCAGTGCCTCTATTTCCGCAATTTTACTGACGGCTACTTCTACCGGTGGAGATCCTTCACCACATTTAGGCAGAAGTTGCGCAAGTTGCGCCGAAAAACTCGACGATCACAGCATCGCCTGCATCTCCAGCAATAGCATCACATCGCCGCTGAGCAAGCACGTCGACGCATTGGAATGCAGCAGATGGCACATAAACGTAGGCAGCGTGAGCTCACCGTATGCTTCAATCATTGGGAGAGCGTGTGTACAGACAGACCAGTGGATCGACCACCATCAGAAGCAACGACGGCTCCACTGCGCTATCAAAGCACTAAAATCCCAGCTGCCTCGTCGTCCTGAGCGCCAGAAGCACAGACACATTTTCCTGCTGCATCACAGGGTCCTCCTTGCTCAAGTCTTGCAGCTTTGGCGACAAACAATTATTGACCAGCAAACTCACTTCAACATGTGACTTGTGAGAAAAAGTGTAGCCATAATCATAATGCTGGTACAGTGTACCTTCAGTCATATAGTGATAGCTCCCGAAACTTGGCTTCAGTATGGCCTCGATCTGAGACGCTCAAACTCAGAAAGGACCTGAAGATGTTCTCTGAAGAGGACGCAGACTACGAGGCACTGCTGCCTGTGGATGCACCCAATGCGCCCCCCAAATGTCGACGCCGTCTGCAACGCATGGACGTAGCATTATTGTCAGTGATCCTATTTGTCGCCTGCTACGTGGGCGTCCGCCCGCCAGCGTTGCGTGTGTCCAATCCACTGATGCTTAAGAGCAGCAACTTCCAGTATTTGACGTACGATGGCATCGACGCAACTAAGCGTCAATCGGGCTACAGCGTGACCTATTCACCCCGAGGTTTCGAGATCGACGGCAAGCAGACGCTGCTGCTTGGAGGCTCCATCCACTACCCTCGTAGCTCTCCAGGGGAATGGGAACAGCTTCTTCGAGAAGCCAAACGAGACGGCCTCAACCACATCGAGATGTGTACGTGCGTTGGTAGCAATACATGACTCAAAGTGGCACACTGACTCTGTTGTATTGCTGTTTAGATGTGTTCTGGAACTTGCACGAGCAAGAGCGCGGCGTGTTCAACTTCGCGGGGAACGCCAACATCACGAGGTTTTACGAATTGGCAGCGGAGGTGGGACTGTTCCTGCATGTGCGGTTTGGTCCGTACGTATGTGCTGAGTGGAACAATGGCGGTCTTCCCTTGTGGCTTAATTGGATCCCAGGTATGGAGGTGAGATCGAGCAATGCCCCTTGGCAGAGGGAAATGGAGCGGTTCATCAGGTACATGGTGGAGCTGTCGAGGCCTTTTTTGGCGAAAAATGGGGGGCCGATCATCATGGCGCAGATCGAGAACGAGTTTGCGTGGCACGATCCAGAGTACATTGCGTGGTGCGGAAATCTTGTCAAGCAGTTGGACACGTCGATCCCTTGGGTCATGTACGGAAATGTCTTGCTACTGTAGTATGGATCGATGGTCGCTAACACAAGTACTACCGAGCAGGTGCTACGCTAACGCAGCTGAGAATACTATTCTCTCGTGCAACGACGATGACTGTGTGGATTTCGCTGTGAAACACGTAAAGGAGCGTCCTTCCGACCCCCTTGTTTGGACGGAGGACGAGGGCTGGTTTCAAACGTGGCAGAAGGATAAAAAGAATCCTCTGCCAAATGACCAGCGCAGTCCTGAAGACGTGGCGTATGCCGTTGCTCGGTGGTTTGCAGTGGGTGGGGCTGCCCACAACTACTACGTACGTTCTTCACGGCTGCCCAGCAGCTCTAATGGACTAACGGTGTGTATTTTCTCCTCTACTATTAGATGTACCATGGTGGCAACAACTACGGTAGAGCCGCATCGGCTGGAGTGACTACGATGTATGCGGATGGGGTGAATCTCCATTCCGACGGCCTCAGCAATGAGCCGAAGCGCACTCACTTGCGAAAGCTTCACGAGGCTCTGATTGAGTGCAATGATGTTTTGTTACGCAATGATCGACAAGTGCTGAACCCCCGCGAGTTGCCACTTGTGGACGAGCAAACAGTGAAGGCGTCATCCCAGCAACGAGCGTTTGTCTACGGACCAGAAGCTGAACCAAATCAAGTGGCTTTCTTAGAGAATATGAGTAACCAGAGTGCTCGCGTGACTTTCACCGGCAAAAAGTACGAGCTCTCGGCATTCTCCGTGTTGATTATTAAGGACGGAGCTATTCTCTTTGACACGGCTGATGTACGCAAGTCATTTCCAGGTCGTCAGCATCGAACATACACCCCGCTAGTTAAAGCAAGTGCTCTTGCGTGGAAGGCGTGGAGTGAGCTGAATGTATCGTCGACGACTCCAAGACGGCGTGTGGTTGCTGACCAACCCATTGAACAGCTTCGACTGACAGCAGACCAATCCGATTATTTGACGTATGAGACCACGTTTACCCCGAAGCAACTGAGTGATGTCGATGACGATATGTGGACGGTCAAAGTGACCTCATGCGAGGCTAGCAGCATTATTGCGCTCGTTGACGGCTGGCTCATTGGCGAGAGAAATTTAGCCTACCCTGGCGGCAATTGCTCGAAGGAATTCAGCTTCCACCTACCTGCTAGTATTGAGGTTGGTCGGCAACACGACTTGAAGCTGGTGTCTGTGAGCTTGGGGATTTACTCATTGGGCAGTAACCACAGCAAGGGAGTGACTGGAAGCGTTCGAATTGGACACAAGGATTTGGCGCGTGGACAGCGGTGGGAAATGTATCCGAGTCTGATTGGTGAGCAGCTCGAGATTTATCGTTCACAGTGGATTGACGCGGTGCCCTGGACTCCCGTGTCTCGTGCCGCGGGTGGCCGACAGTTGATGAGCTGGTACGCGACGTCCTTTCCGTCGCCTGCATACCAGATGATGAACGGTGCTTCTCAGTCGTCCTTACTGCTCGATTTCATCGGACTCACACGTGGCCGCGCGTATATTAACGGCCACGACCTGGGCCGCTACTGGCTTATCAACAACGAGGGGGACTTTGTTCAACGCTACTACCACGTCCCACGCGACTGGCTGGTAAAAGATCGGGAGAATCTACTGGTTGTGTTCGACGAGCTTGGTGGGTCCATCACCAACGTACAGCTGGTGTCCTCCACAATGGTTCCAGACACACCAGCAGCTGCAGCAAATAGAGGGAGGTAAGATGGCGATGAGTGAGTCTGACGTCGTTGCGGTCAGCCGCGAGTGATAGTGCAAAGAACGAGATTCCTGCGAAGCTATCCTACCAAATATGAGCAGGCTGAATCATCATCGACCACACTTGTCAAACATCGCCTGTTACATCGGCCACTTCAGCTTGATCGAAAGGGTGCGGTGCGATTGGTCGACAAAAATGCTCTAAATTTTGACCAATCGTGTAGCTTCGAACATGTCGCAGCTGTTTTATCGCCGTAATCGGGGCTGAGTGGACACTTCTTCGGACGCCGATGTCGTTTTGCTTGTTCGAGCGGCGAAACGCACTGACGATAACTCCCACACACACACCACAATAAATACATGCATCGCCAATACATTGAAGAATCAAACGTGGGCTGGAATGTCAGGCAAATCGCTGTCCAACGCGGCTTTAGGTACTGTATCTCAGAAGCATAAACTGTATGCATGTAGGCTGGATTTCGATACTGTACCAAAATTCAAGTTTATTAAAAGGCACAAATTTCAATACCTACTGTACCACCGCGTCCAAATTATTTTGCCCCCAATTACAAATACAGTTCCGAAAACGCAGACACAACCCGAAAATAGCTCGAGACTTACCTACTTGGGTCGCTCCTTCACCGCCGTTATGAGCTACATTTCGGCCGATTCGCCCAAGATGGGCGAGGCAGAGCACTACAATGCGTTGGTACAGGAGACGTCCAAAGCCGTGGGCCAGTTCAACCAGGTCACGCGCAACATCGCGCAGAAGATGACGCTGTTCGGCACGCCACAGGACTCGCGCGCCAACCACCAGCAGCTCACTGAGCTCACGGACCGCGGCAACAAGCTCGTAGCCAAAATTAATCGCAGATTGCACGAGCTAGACAAGGGAGCGAAGGCTGCAGGTGGACGCGCGCGCAGGACGCAGGTGGCTAAACTATCCGCCGACTATAAGAACCAGCTCAAGAGCTTTGAGGAGACGTGTCAGCAGCTACTGGCCGCGGAGCGGGCCGCAGTGTTTAACCTCCGCCAGTCGTCGCTTTCGTTCCGCTCGGATGACGACCAGAAGCCTGCGGGTTTTGACGGATACAACGAAGACCAGATCTACGCGCAGGCCAATGTGACCAGCTATAATGAAGACGGTGCGTGGCGAAAAGTTAGAGCCCTTTTGAAACAGCTTTTGGGGTTCTTAACAACGAATTGCTGTGAACTTGTATTCTAGACCTGGTACGACGAGAGGAGGATATTCTAAAGATCAATCAGCAACTGCATGAAGTAAACGCGGCGTACCAGGAGGTTGATGGACTGGTGCAGGACCAGGGCGAGATTGTTGGTGCGTCGTCACCTTAGCGGTTAGTACTTTTATTTCGACTCGTACTTATGTTCTATTTTGTGCATTTTTGCAGTGGACATCGAGGAGAACACAAATGCAGCTCAGGAGAATACGCAGGGAGCGTTGCACAACGTGCGGGAGGCCGACCGTAAGCGTGGCCTCTGTAAGTGCTCCAAGACGAAACTCATTTGCATTGGTATCTTCGCTCTTTTGGTTGTTGCTGCTTTAATCGCGATCCTGACTGCAGTCAAATGAGGAGGCCGAGTTTTGACACAAGACTGAGGCTCGACAGCTGGAGAGTGCAGCCAAGCTACTTAGCAGGAATTTCTCCTTTGGTGACCACTTATATAACTTTTTGATTCATCTTTCCTTGCGGATTGTTGCCTTTCTACAGTACCTAGAAGAGTACCACTCTGGCCACTTGACGAGGCTGCTGCAACCAACTGTACACAGGTCGCCTAATACGAGCCCAGCTCGTGCCCAACAACCCCCCATTCTGCTCCCAACTACGCGCCCAACTCAAGAAGCCAGTGCAAAATGGTATACATCGAACCAGTATAGCCGGAAAGACACACTTAAGAATTTGCGCGCCATGTCAAAGTCCGAAGTTGAACGACTTTGGGGGCGAAGCTAGAGTGTTGGATTTTCATGTCTTCCCTTCCAACCAATGCAAACAGAAACAACAGCAACATCACTCTCAAGGCAAAACAAAGTAGTGGTGTATTGAACGCTGAGCACCTATTACTGTACAAGTTGTTATACAACTGGATCCTTACGCTTCGATAAGCATGCGTATGTAGCGGTATCGCAGAAGCTGTAATGTCTTTTTGTCCAGATATCCAAGTTGCTCAGCAGCAAAAAAAAAAGTGTGAGGTACCGTAGCATCGACAACCTGCACGCAAGCATTAATCTACGTCCACAACACATGCATGCCATTAGACAATCTACCACCCAAATTACACCCAACTGATACAATGGTACCCAACTCGGAGAAACTACATACTTTTCCGGTCAAGAAAAGAATTAACAGTTAGGTTTTTCTATAAAATCTCGCATGTGTGATTGGTCAATGTCCATTCTGAGATGGGTACGATTGGTTAAAATGAGTTCGTATGAGGATTTGTATGCACACGGATTGAGAGTAATTGACGCAAAAAATTACTTTTAGTGATATACCACTAGATGAAGCTCAGTTTGCGCTTTTTCTAGTATTTTAAAGTTTAATTCTGATTATTTTTGACGTCAAAGCAAAAAAACTCCACCTTTTCGTAAAGTGATAGCTCAAATGGTCAGGAATTGGCAAAATTGGCGGGAAATTTGTTCATATAAAAAATCGTGCTGACGCTACGTAAGTAGAGCTTTCAAACTAGCTCAACCACGCTTCCGTTGGAGCTGTACGACCGAAGTTATCTCCGATTAAAAGAACTGTTAATTCTTTTTCGGACCATCGCACAGGCACATCGCAATTAATAGACCTCGACTGCTGTCGCTTTCTCTCCCCCTGTCCTCGTGCATTGTACTTACCAGCATGGGTACATACAAATGTCTTGCCGTAGTAACTCCATTCATCCGGAAGAATTGGTTACTTCAAACCGGGGTTTGCTCGGATTTTTTTGTTCCGGACCTCGCCTTTGCTGTTCGTCCGGACTCTAAAACACTGTTTAGTCACAATAAACAAACAATCCTTCAGTAGTTATGCCACTTGTAATGCGAATCCTGGCTAGCAACGATAACTAATACAGTCAAGTGTACCTGATACGTTTCCTTCGAATACTGTTGAAGGTAGCCCTCCAGGTCTTCCCAATAATCACATTGAGTGCGCTGAAGGGGTGGTGCCTCTGTTGTTTGCGGTGTGGTGTCGCTCGAATCGGTGTGTACTGTGCTTGAAGTGGTCGACGCCTTCTCGGTTGAATCTATCCACTCCTCATCGCGATACACTGAGGCTCGGAGTGGTCGCTTCGCGGGCTCCCCAAGCCTCCAGCACCGGCTGCATTTGACGCACAGCAGCCCACGCTCGTGGCTTCCATACTGCTCTCGCTGGTTCCCCCCTACTCTCGGAATGAGTGGTAGTTGACAATGATATACACGTATACATACCTGAGGGAACCGAAAATTTCTGTCAGCTGGGCCTCTTCTGGGGTAGGGGATAGCCTGGTCGCGATTTACGACGCTGAGTTGAGCTAACTACTCACTCTCCTTATTAAAAAAAATCAACATTTCCGTTTTCGAGCCATACTGGAACTGTAAATGAGAAACCCTATTGTTTCAGATTTTTTAAGGCACTCGTTATTTAGCCCGATTGGGGGAAATGAGACGAAGCAGTTGTGACCGATCGATGCCCAATCATGATCGATTGATTGAAGAGCCAGAACCGGTCATCATTTGACGCGTCGTCATGGTATACGCGCTCGCAACGTATAGTCGGATACATCATAGGAGGAGGCGAATAGTTCGCCACAGAGTATTTGCGGTGACCACTACATGCACTTACGTTTGTCAAAGTGTTGTCATCTCGCCATGAAAGCAAAATATAATAGAAAACTTTGCAGTGTAAGTGCTTAAGCTGCAGACTCAAATGAGCAACTTGTTCAAAATTTAAAGGCACATGCACAGGTACCTGTATCACAGGCAATGAAGCTCCTTTCTGCTCAGTAAGCTGAGCGCATCAGCGCCAGCAAAAATTCAAATGCCGAGCTCGCTTGTATTATGATGAGCTCGGTACTTCCTAGGAGCATAGTCTGGAAGTAGAGTCGTCAATTTTTCTGCCACCGCACGAACTTGAACACCGTAGGTTGACGACATCGGGTCGTAGATAGTCACATCCTTCTGGGCACCGTCAATCATTATGCCGCACCAATGCAACGAATTGCAGCATAGCGGGATCAGGGTTTTATCTGAGGACACGCCAACGAATATATTGGCTAAGTCTCGTAGCGGTACTGGCATCGAACCATCCACTACCGGCCCTATTACGCAGGACCTGATAACGACAACATCTGTTCTCGCTCCGAACAACTTGGACATGACGCAATCTACTGTACCGTCACTCAGCTGTCCTCTGCCAACAAGCTCCAGCACTTCAGCCTGTTTTCACACAAAAAAACGTAGAAAAGTAGCTAGACAAATTTGTTTTAAAGGTGCAAAAGTGATAATACAACGTACCTGGACCGAGAGCAGCCCAAGCGACCTGATCTTATGAAGCAGATCGGGCTCCGGCGAAATGCGGAATGATATAGGCATATAAATTGTAAAGGCAATGGTTTCGACCCAGGTAATCGCCTTCTCCATCTACTTAATTGACTTCATTGCTCGATACCACTTTTTCATGATTGCCAGTGTTTCAGTCGCATATGCTCCATAGCCAATAACGTCTAAAACCACGTCCTTTTGTGATAGCCCTATGTGTTTTGACTGCCACTTTTTAACCGCACGTCCTGATGAATTCAGGCCTAAAAACACGCGTGATTGTTTCGAGCTGTGTCAGCGGTTTTGTGGGAGGTAATTTCGATCTTTGTCGCGCAGTAGGTACTCTCAGTTTCTTGCCATACTCAAACATCTTGAAACGGGAAAGTAATTCTGCTGCAGAATCGTATGTTGGCTCTATTGATAATGCCGTTTGCACAGATGAAAGACTGAGGTTGGAGCGGTACATCTCGGAATCGTCCTTCGCAGTCTCCACAGCCTTCTTGCGCGCGGCCTTTTTGGCCTTCGCAGTTCGCTTTGGTCGACCTCGCGAATTTGGCGGGCTTGCCACTTCAAATGGTCTGTCATCAGCAGGCTCCAGGGTGACGCATGTCTGCGAATCAACTGCAGTTTCTCCAATTGCAAGTTCATCCGATTCAATTCTCGACTCACGCGACTGGACCGATTGAGAGCCCGACTGGATCGATTGAATACCTGATTCTTTTGAGTGATCACCTGTGATTGTTTCGAGCTGTGTCAGCGGTTTTGTGGGAGGTAATTTTGATCTTTGTCGCGCAGTAGGTACTCTCAGTTTCTTGCCATACTCAAACATCTTGAAACGGGAAAGTAATTCTGCTGCAGAATCGTATGTTGGCTCTATTGATAATGCCGTTTGCACAGATGAAAGACTGAGGTTGGAGCGGTACATCTCGGAATCGTCCTTCGCAGTCTCCACAGCCTTCTTGCGCGCGGCCTGTTTGGCCTTCGCAGTTCGCTTTGGTCGACCTCGCGAATTTGGCGGGCTTGCCACTTCAAATGGTCTGTCATCAGCAGGCTCCAGGGTGACGCATGTCTGCGAATCAACTGCAGTTTCTCCAATTGCAAGTTCATCCGATTCAATTCTCCACTCACGCGACTGGACCGATTGAGAGCCCGACTGGATCGATTGAATACCTGATTCTTTTGAGTGATCACCTGTGATTGTTTCGAGCTGTGTCAGCGGTTTTGTGGGAGGTAATTTCGATCTTTGTCGCGCAGTAGGTACTGTCAGTTTCTTTGATACTCAAACATATTGAAACGGGAAAGTAATTCTGCTGCAGAATCGTATGTTGGCTCTATTGATAATGCCGTTTGCACAGATGAAAGACTGAGGTTGGAGCGGTACATCTCGGAATCGTCCTTCGCAGTCTCCACAGCCTTCTTGCGCGCGGCCTTTTTGGCCTTCGCAGTTCGCTTTGGTCGACCTCGCGAATTTGGCGGGCTTGCCAATTCAAATGGTCTGCCATCAGCAGGCTCCAGGGTGACGCATGTCTGCGAATCAACTGCAGTTTCTCCAATTGCAAGTTCATCCGATTCAATTCTCGACTCACGCGACTGGACCGATTGAGAGCCCGACTGGATCGATTGAATACCTGATTCTTTTGAGTGATCACCTGTGATTGTTTCGAGCTGTGTCAGCGGTTTTGTGGGAGGTAATTTCGATCTTTGTCGCGCAGTAGGTACTCTCAGTTTCTTGCCATACTCAAACATCTTGAAACGGGAAAGTAATTCTGCTGCAGAATCGTATGTTGGCTCTATTGATAATGCCGTTTGCACAGATGAAAGACTGAGGTTG